GCCCTACTGTATGGTACACTCCAGTACACGACTGGATTCCACTCCATGAGGTGACGGTCAGTGGTCAGCGTTAGTCACGTTTACTGACGCCCATCAAATCTTCCTGACGTACAGTGTCATGAAATTGAAATGCCACTGAGGTTTTTCTAAAATGACTAGAACGATGGTAACAAATTTTTGTACATTTTCAGACACACCTATATCATTGTTTAATTTCCTCACTGATGGTGTGGACTTTTATCCTCATTTTCTGCACCCTGTGCCTCAAGTGAACCAGAGGCCATTTCTACTCTAAGAAAAAGCCGAGTAATCGAATCGAAAAGCGAGGAACATACTGGCTCCATAGTTGACGGCTTTTGCCCCCGAACAGTGCATGAGCGCACCCTACAGAAAGCAAGAGGAATCAGCGTGAATGCATCTGGGACCACCATGATCGAGATCTGTGAATAGACTTTGAAAAAATGCATGAAAGGTGTGGATTGCTGCATAAAGTACGCCAGTGGATGTTTGGCATAAGACCTCTTGTTTTCAACGTGAAAAGTCTCCAGATTCCAAATGCAGCCATGGCTGAACTTTTAGTGCACTTGTCCAGACTGTGTGTGAAGGCTACGGAACGATATCCGTTCACGATCTTGGCAAAATGGGAGTTTGTTTCAGAGTTACCCGCCCCAGGCGTCTCGTTCGCATAGCGGATATTTACGAAGGAATAAAAAAAACCAAAACGTCAAATAACTGCAGAGATAATGCACGCTTTTGCTGCAAGTGATTTTTCAGAGTTATTGGAGGAAAAATGCAGACAATCAAGTGCTTCAAATATCTTGACACCGATTAAATTGACGTGGAATGTGAAGCAGACAGTGATACAGATTATCGTAGCCTAAACAGTAGTAGCGTAAATTAGAACACAGATACTGTTATTTTGGTAGTGAACATGTGGCAAATCTGGTCGAATCAGCTCAAATTCCAGTTCATGCGTCCTAGTGACACATCCTGAACACTCGTCGATGAGGGGATCATCCGGTCTACTATACGAGCCTATAGGAGTGACGTTTTGGGATTTAGAGTAAGGGTTGGTTTTAGCTGTATGGGGTGACTGAAAAGGGTTGTAAATTATATTTTTTTCCGTTGTGCTAATTTCACCAAATTTAAGCCACTTTTTCACCCAAATGATTTCGGGAGAAGGCTTTACTTAACGTCGTAAGTAAATGCGCTACCAGGCTCAGCATTCCACATGGTGACAGGTAACAAAAATCGCCGTCCACAGGGATACAGCATATTTGCGGAAATCCTGCCTTTCATCAGCGTATTCGAGGTTGAGCGTAAATCTGGGTTTCCAAGTTTTCTTTATGACAGATGGCGTCAGCTGAGTTGGTAAGGTTGAAAACCTTCATTCAGCAGAGTCTAAAATGAAGGTAATCCGGCATCAAACGTGATAGGACCAAGCGGGTGCCTACGCCGAATGCTTTCAGCAATTTCCGCTCTTTCGTCTACTTCACCTCTTCCTTGAGATGGACATTATCCAATCAAGGTCTAGTCAGCTATTGGTGAAAGGAAGAAGGCCTTCGCCGTGGAGTCGTTTATTAGAAAACACCAACTGAACAGTTACAGACTGTTGAACAGGGGAGCAAACTCTCATATGCATCTTATTTATGAAAACTGTGTATCCGTCGTCTTCTGGAAAATGTCTTTCTGAACTTTTCTGGATATTAATTGACTGTTGCTTAAATCCAAGCAAATGCTACAAAGCGGCTCCACAAATTCCGTGATAGATCCCACGTTTCAGGAGACGCGAAGCGGATTTACGAAAAAACGTACTACTCTCATGCCTCATCAGTGGTATCCACCGTTAAAATGGCAGTTGAACCTCTGATGCAGAAGATGTCAGACCCACTTTTCACTCAATCATGATGAATGACAGTTTTTGCTTTTTGTAAGCCAGTAATACCACACATACTTGCTTCAATACTGCCAGTACCGAGTGCAGCGATGTGAACACCGTTTATAAGTAAAAAGTTAGAATAGTGCTGCTAAGTGTGTGCACCTCCATGGAGAGCGTGGCTCCGGCCGGTCTTGAAGATACACAATCTCTGGGGCACGCAGGGGCATTGTTACTGAGCTCCCAACTTACGCTATTTCCCATTTTTACTGGAAATGTTGGTGACTTTCTCACCTCAGGCAACGGATACCCAACAACACAACAGGTCGGTTCCAAACACACTCCTAATAGAACGCGCCAATAATTTTAGTTCTTTGTAACAATGTATAGTGTATACTCGCTAACCATGTTCATCAGTTTTCCTAAACTCGATAGCACTGAATACGTGTCTGTTGTATGGGTTATGTTCTCACTGTTCTCCAGTCTATTTCATGCCACGAATTACCCATTTTTAGCCATTTTTACCCATTTTTAGTAATAAGTGGTTGTCGAAGGACAGGTTGTAGCGGCGTGCTTCAAGCACTGTCTTCAATCACCGATACCAAAGTTTTCTATGAAGTGGTTTATCTTCCTCTTATGGAAGACGTACCCACCCAAACACCTGCCTCACGGGTTTTGTTGGAATCGTGAAGCTTGAAACTTCTCATGTTCAGTCTTCGCTGCACCGGACAGGTACAAAGAAAGTTACAGAGATCAGGTTCGGCAGCGCGTGCTGGAGCGTGTTAATGAACTGCAATGCATGTGGTGATCGGATTGCGAATGATCCAGTCGTTGATCAGATTTTTCACCTTGATAAACGAGATACCGCATAAGTAACTGAGCTCACCAAGGTACGGCTTCTTTAAACAGCAGATATAGTTGCGGTGCAATGAACTGATGACTTTGATGTGTGCACATTGGTCATTCTATGCGAAATTTAAGCGTTCGGTGACCATCCGTGAGTCTAACGAGCGGTCAGCTATCCTTCCCATTGAGTCTTAAGACGAAAATAACCGTAACCCGTTTGCACGGTATGTGTCTTCGCATGGTACTATAGTAGATCTCAACACGTTTCTTGAACAAAGCATGTTTTCCATGGAGACCGTGCGTATAGTACCACAATTGGGGCATAACATTTATCCATTCAGAAACAAGGTGACTTCGGGTTCAACAAGAATGATGATCAGAGGTGAGGATCACATTTCACCGAATATGAAACCATGGGGTTCTGCTTCGCTGGAAATGTAAGTGAATGTCGTGGAAAAGTTTGAAACAGACAAAGCTTTTGGAGATATCTTAAATTAGTTCGTAGGCTGTGAAATGCTAAACGCAAACTCCATCATGGGTTTTTTTTTCGATTTCCTGTCGCCAAAGAACTTCAGCTTCACAATATCTGCCATCGGTGGTTTTTCTAGCCGTTAGGCTCGTCTGTAACTTTATTGACGGGGGGGAGTATCTCCCTGTGATGAGTGAATTGAATTGCGGTGAAATGACTGAAGATCTGAACTCAAACCACTAAAACGCAATCGATTTCTCGGTCTACCTATATTTGAAGACTTCACGCAGCAAGGAAACAATCTCCTGTTTTGTCTGCGTGATGGATTATCTTGCGGTAAGACCCTGGTGTTGGTGTGAAAATTTGAGGAGAAAATATTGACAGCGGACATCGCGCCCAACGATTGATATCTTAATTGATTCACTTTTTGACTACTGGAATGTTGTAAGTAGTTCATAATGAGTATCTGACATTCTGGTATCAGCTGCTGTCCTCAAAACCACGCCTCAAAATGCAGAGCACCCTCGCTCCAGTGGCATCTTGATGTATGGCTGAAGCGATTTTCGTCAGTTCTTTGCGAAAACAAGGCTTCACGTGGTTGACTTCAAGATCATCAAGAAGCAATACGAGATAATTCACACGCGCAGCAGGCTTTATTGAATTGTTTTCTTTAAATGTATTCTAGTAATGATACCAAAAAATACATCTCTAAGCAAAAATTTGCGCATGGTTATTCAAGACATTTTGAACACTTCGCCCCAACATTACGGATATCTGTTTGGTGAGAGCTATCGGTATACCTACGGTAAGACATTTTTGCCTCAGCTGATCGATTACCCTTTACTGGCACTGCTGACAAGTTTTAATTCATAAGGTCGTGCTCTCTCCTCTGAGTTTGAGTCGACAAGTGGACTTTCAGGCCCTTATCTGGTGCCTGTTATCACTTTTATTTCTTAAGACTGTATAGCACATGCGAGTTCTCAAATTAATTTGTAGGAGCTCATTGGGACTGACCATCTTTATGACTGTCTAGTTTGTCGACTTGAATTTACTGAGCCTACCAACCGTTTCCATCGCAAGTCTATTTTCTAAATTAAATCTCTAAATTTAAACATTTGCTGCACAGGTTGCTTTGATCTATTGTGGATGCACTACCTGGTGTCAGAGACCATATAAAGTACTAGAATTGTTCTCCGTTCGGTGAAGAACCAAAGCATAGTATAATGAAACAAAAAGCCGTTAAAAATGTTGGTCGCTGTTTGCTATGAACCCCTCTTCATTAGTTCTAGTTACTATCAACTTGTGTGTATCTACAAATCTCTCCAGCTAACCACTTGGTTCGGGTTATCTCAGAGTAAGATGGCCACTGCTGAATGTGATTCGTCCCACAAAAATTGGATGGAAAATGTAGTTATAGGTTTGTGGTGGCCTACAATTATGGAAAGACAAACCAGTCTGATCTTCTATCAAGCTTTTTAAGCGATGATGACGACCTGCTCTTGCTTACTTGGAATATTTCAAGCTAAAATGTGAATGGTTCCGTTGAGATTTGAGGGCGGTCATTGATTGATGAGTGACCTCTACCCTGACCCCTTAGCGAAGGGGAAAAGTAGGTGATGATGACATGGTAGGTGATGCTCGTGGTTGTGGGGTAAACAAGACAATAGACAGTCTATGTGGATGTACTAGTAAATTTACTTCCAGGGGTATGCAGACAGGAGGGTAGCCGCTACAGCCGTCATGATCATAGCGCTTCAAAAACTGCGATGGTTTATCTCTTCGGAATTCACGGGTTCAGATCACTCAAACCGCGTGACAATTCCTGTCCCACTTGCAACTTCAGCCGACAACACGTACACTGCAACTTCCCATCCATTTTTGTTTACGCAGCTATCATTTGCGTCACACGCCAGGCTTACGCAATTCAAGCACATCAGGACAAGTTGTATTCATGTTCGCGCAAGCATCAAACACGAAGGGACACCCCTCTCTTCACACTGCACACAATAAATAGGCATACAACTCGGCCCAACACACAC